TTGTTTGGAGTTAACCATTCAAATGTTTGGTGTGTTTGTACGGTTTATTTATAAACTATAATTTAGAGAGGTTATGAGAACAGGTTGACATTTCAAAAGTTCGTTCCGTCATTCAACGATTCCTGTTGAGTTGACCGTTTATCCTTGTCTATCTTATTGTCAGTCTGTATAATTCCATGGTTACCGGAGTTTCAAATAATTACGAAGCAACAAGTATTTGCGCAATGTTAATTAGGCAGATTACCTTGAAAAACATTGCTGCCGTATTTCTGATAATGTTTTTTGAAAATTCTTCAGTTTTTAATAACAATTAATTTCTTTTACTATTTTTTCTGTACTCCTATAACAGCGCCAGACAACACCTCCAGAGGAATTACGCCAATTTTAAATCACCCTGTATATATTTTACTAACACGTTGTTCGTTAATTTTCTGTTCTATTACCTCCAAATATTCAAAAATATTGTCCATTCTTATATTGTATACGACAGTAAAATCAAAAAATTATAATGTAAAAACATAAACCACACTCTTTAAAAAGCATTGGCTACAATTAGAAGTGCGAGGTAGTAATTAATACTAACCTCCTTCGAGTTGTGACTGTATATGGTGAGTGGGATTTTCGTTCAACCTAGATTGTTTTGAACTAACTAACAGAGCTTATTGGGAAGTTGCTGATTAACAACCACACTTTAGTGTTATTAATGTTAACAATGGCTCCAGTATGGAGCCGAAAAATTTAAAACCTAGCGTAGAATATGACTCGAATGATAAGGACCCATACACTGTTTAGATTGAGACATCAAAAAAAATAAATTCCTTAAGAAATATCGGTAAATATTCACATTTAAAACTAGCTAAGCAAATATTTGACCTTCACCTCGTCGATGTGAAAAATATTAAAAATAAAGGAGTGAATAGAATTGCTGTAGAATTTTTAAACCACAGCGCGGCCAACCATTTTGTCAAAAATAAAAAACTTCTCGACAAGGGATACGAAATCTACATACCCTTTAATTTCGTAACATGTAAAGCCATAGTCAAGGAGGTTGACATGGATTTGTCAGAGGAACAGTTAAATGAATGTTTTAATTCTCCAATACAAATAATGTCCATAAAACGAATGAATAGGAAAGTACTAAAAGATTATAAACCCGCGTATAAACCCGCTTGTTTACGTTTAGAGGAAAAACTCTACCAAAAGAGGTTTATTTCTGTCGCATGGCAATGAAAATATCAATTTACTCTTCTTGCTTACTCTATGGTCATACAAGAAAAAATTGCAAAGCAAAACCAAAATACTTCCAATTGTGCAGGAGAAATACATGAGGATCCAATTGAAAGTGGAAATATAAAATAATATTCATGTGAAAGCAAGTGTCACTACTGTAAAAATAATCATTGATCCACCAACAAAAATTATAATCAGAATATCAGAGACAACTTAACATTAAAAATTTGATGGCGTTCGAAAATTTGACATACCGAGATGCAAATGACAAATGCAGAAAAACATACCAACTAAGAAACGAATACTACTACAACCCCAATGAATTCCCCACAATTGGGAAGACACTGCCAAACAATACGGAAACCTTTATTACTCCAGACTAAAGAAGAACAGAGTACTTCGACAACCCCAAACAAATCTTACCAACAGGTCACTAGAGTGACCCCCTAAAAAAAGAATCCTTCAAGGGGATTATGATAAACAAAAGCACGATGAATGCTTATATTTCCCAAACACTCGCCCGATAGAGATACAATAGTTAGATCCATCTTGTTCACATTGGAGTGAAAACACATCAAGTACCCTAAATAGATCACGAGATGCAGATAAGCCCCTAGGTGCCACTTTCACTAAACAATTTCAAAAATAAATTTCCAAATGAAAAAATGTATAATGCAGATGAACTCTTTGAAAAATACCTAAGTAACAAGGATGGCAGAGATTTAATCAAACATCTAATAATAAATCATTTAAAAACCCAAAATTCAACAAGCCATGACGTATTAATCAAAAAACACCATAAACACCAAAAAATTCCTAAAAATTGTGCAGTGGAATATTAGAAGCGTCAAAACAAATAGAGAAAATATATCCCAGAAATAAACCCCAAATTTTCTAACAAATTGCCTAACGAGTTAGAGATATATAATTCTGGAATTGAAGCAATCCACGAAGCAGTCGACATGGCAATTAAGAAGAAGTTCGAAAACGCTATAATATTCTC